CACTTAAAAAATCATTTAGAAGTCTGAATTTAGGCGCTAGATACATGCATAAATGTACATATGATAATGTGCTCAAAGATGTCTCTTTTCCAATGCTGTCAAAACCTCAAGCTAATGTAAGCACCTCTGTACCTCAGTTCCATGGTGCTGTTATATCAGCGGATCCAATTTCCTGTGCTACCAGCATTTACTCTCCTCACTTTACTAGCAAGATTTTAGAACTGACTTGGTTTAGGTCCCATGGCAATGGGAAAAATACCCTCCTCCTTCCCTCCTATTCTCTTTGCCTTTACTTTCTTTCTGCTTTTCCACACTCTACACTTATTTTGTGACCCCAGTGTGTCTTAAATCAGTTTTTAACTGCCCCTTAAACTATTTCCATGTCACAGCATTTTAAAATGATGGTTCATGACAAAGCTGCTTGGGATAAAGTAAAAAAAAAAAGGTTCAATTCCTCTTGTCACATAAGATTGACGTGCAGATGCAAAATGGTTATTTGATGACTTTTACCTTCAACTCTCTAACTACAGAGTAAAACTAATCTAGCCCTGTAGTTCTAAAAAGATTAGAGAGAGGCAAGTTTGGAAATAGTCATCATATATATATATATATACGTGTGTATACACACATATATATACACGTATATATATATACACACACAGACATAGATATATATATTTTTTGAGATGGAGTTTCACTCTTGTAGCCCAGGCTGGAGTGGAATGGCTTGATTACGGCTTGCCGCAATCTCCACCTCCAAGGTTCAAGCGATTCTCCTGCCTCAGCCTCCAGAGTAGCTGGGATTACAGGCATGTGCCACCATGCCCGGCTAATTTTCTATTTTTAGTAGAGACGGGGTTTCTCCATGTTGGTCAGCCTAGTCTTGGAACTCCCAACCTCAGGTGATCCGCCCGCCCTGGCCTCCCAAAGTGCTGGGATTACAGGCGTAAGCCACCGCGCCCGGCCCTTTTCTTTTTATATCTTAATGGTCAGTTTAAACAAGCTGAGGCAAAGGGCAAGGGAAATCTTTATAGGACCTTGTAACAGTAGTAGCAATTGAAGCACCCAACTCTTAAGTGTTGTAAAAGAGAGTGTATCAGTGACTCTGGTAAGATGTTTGGAAAATAAAGATGTTCTAATAAGATCGTATCTTGAATTGTTGTGCATTTTAATTATTCATGCACAGTATGCCTCCCCCCAACCCCAAATCTCATCAGACACAATCTCTTGAGATTTACAGAGGGAGCAAATATGAAGAAAACAAAGTTCTCCATTCCTGCATCCCATTCCCACGTTTTCTAGTTGATTGAGGCAAAATGATATCCCCAGAGACCGATGTGTAATGTGGCACATATTTTTTTCAGCTAAGCCACTCCTTGGTCAAATTGCTGACACATCAGTTTATACTCGCCCTTTCCACCTGACCCAGACCGCAGCCAGAGATTTGGTTCAGTGAATTTAGGGCTTAGAAAGGCAGAGTTTGTAGTGTTGCAAGTCACAGAAGGTCATTCTGAAACACTCGTATACTTGTTAATCACTTGAATAGGGAGATTTGAACAATCTACTCCTTTCTTTTTTCAGGCCCGCTCTTAGGACCTCTGACATACAAATGAATGCCAGAGTGCTCAGGAGCTCAACTTTTACTTCATCTGTTATTAACCTTCAACCACAGGACAATAACATCTGTTCCTTTTATCCCAATTTTACGTGCGGCATTCTTAGCCATATTAACACTGTGTTTTTATGCACATCATCATACCCTGTTGTAGGGCGATAAAGACCCTACTATGGTAGAATTGGGAGTGGATTGAGGAATTAGGATAAAAGGATGTAGAAAACCGCAGATCTAGAGATGCATAGCTATTCTAATAACCTAGGAAGAGAGGTGCCTTTCTGCATCATCAATTACTGAACACTCCTTGTGTTTGTAAGTACTGAATCCATAAAGTTACATGCAAACGTATAGCCCTTGCCTTCAGGCCAAGCCGTAGTTATGCAGAAGGCTTGAAAAAATCACAGATTTAACATTTCTGGTTCCAGCTGTTCAGGACCAATTCCCAAACTCCACAACACCTAACAATTTGTAATTTTGCTAGGACACAGTTTGATGCTTAGGTTTTAAGGCGGTGTGCTAGACGTTATCAAGAGGTTTATGAGTAGCCCTGTGTCTCCATTGGGTTGAGTAGCTGGGTTGAAAGGATCATGAAGAGATGAAGAAATGACTGTGAAAAGGCAACTAGCTAGCCTCGGTGATAGTAAGCAAAGGTATACAAACACACTAAGGAAATTACCCTTTGTATTGTCAAAGGTTTCAGTTTTGTGTAAGGTTGTGATTCACGGGCAGTTAATCCCCATCGCTGAAATTAAATCCTTTTTTACTGCAGATACTCTGTGGAAGACATTTTGGCTCTTTCGGCTAGCAGAAAATGTGAGGCTTCTTCGGGTTTTTCCTGTAGTTTCATGGGAGCATCTTCCCCAAAACACTGCAAAACAAAGTTTTCAGGTTGATGTGGCAGAGAAAGCACTGATCTCGGCTTCAGGAGCTGAAGTCCCTGGTCCTGACTGTGCCACTAACAGGCTGTGGGACTTCAGACAAATACCTTCCTATCTGGGGTTTCTTCTTAGGTCAAATGGACAGCGTGAGAAGGATCACAATGAACCAGGGACCAACTTCACGATGAAAACTTAAGACTTCAGGGACAGACATCTGTCCGTTCCCGGCTACACCTCCGACCCATCTGGCCCACCGCAAACTGCGCAAAGCCAGTCTCCATCGTCGCCAGGCCCGTGGCCTCGCGCTAAGCCGTTGGTCGTTAACATCTCCCCCGCAATGGGCGGGGCGGAGGGCTTCAGCTTCCGGCGGCAAATAGCGAGGCGGCGCGTGGCGGTGCCCACTGGCCTCAGCGCAGACCTACCCACGCACCCGCGCACCGCGCGCCGGACAGTGTCTACCCACGTCGAAGGGCTTCCCAGCCCCAGCAGTGAACACTGGGAAGCCCCCAAAAGACCCTGCGGTGCCGTGGAGACCAGTTCGGAGTGGGGGAGGGGAAGATAAACCGAATTATTTATGCTAACCAGTGCGTGCTTTCCTTATGGAGATTGGCTAGGGCTTTACTCTAGTAGCCAATCACTTCATAACAAGGGTGGGACGGTTGAGATCTCTCACACTCATTGGTTCAGAAGTTGCGGCGCAATGGAAGGACTTAAACTGAGAGTATCCGGGATTATTTTTCCCCGCCGCGCGGTGCGTGTCCCGGAAGTGACGCACGGCCAAGGCCGGGCGGCCGCCCTGCCCCCGCTTCCTTTCACGCTGTCGCTGCCCGTAGGTGGTTGTGGCCACTGTGCCCCGAGGGAGGCGGCGGTGGCCAGTAATGCCTGGGAAACTCCTCTGGGGGGACATTATGGAGCTGGAAGCACCCTTGGAGGAGTCCGAGAGCCAGAAGAAGGAGAGGCAAAAGGTGCGCTGAGCATGGGCCGCGCCTCCTTTTGGGCTGCGCCGGCTTGGGCGGGGAGGGGAACTGCCTGTCCCTGATGATGGCCTGTCAGAACCGGGCCGGATCATCTGAGGGCCTCCCTTCGCGCCGCCCTCGGCCCTCTGAGGTCGCTCAGGGACCATTTCCACCTCCACACTCCCGACCTGGATAAAGATGGCCCTGGGCTTTGGGCCTCCCCCCCGCGTGGCCCCTCAGCCGTTCCCGTTGGCGCCTGAATCTCAGAGATGGGCAGACTCAAGCTCGCATCACCGTGGAATCTGTTCTTTCTCTCCTTAAGCAGTGACGCCTGTGATTTCGTTCTCATTGGCCCTCTTAGAAGATAATTAAGAAAAAATGATTGCTTTGAATATGTGTTGCTTCTGTCACTCTGTCCCCTGTGCAAGAATCCTGGGGAAAGCGATCTTAGGTTTACAAACCTCAATAACTATAGAGGCTTAAGGAAAAGTGTGACAGTGAGCCTTG